CCTGTACCCCGAAAGTGACCCTCCCTGAACCTCAAAACCCCTGGAACAGCCCCCTGCACCCAAAAACAAGCGAGGACACCCCTCAAAAACCCCCAAATCCCTTCAGGACCCCCCAAACCTCCCCCCCCTTCCCGGAACCCCAAAAATCCCCCCGGGACCCCCAACCCTTGGTGGGCCCCACCGTGACTCAGCTGGCGGCGTTGCCCTTTTAAGACCCCGCCCACTCGGGGCGGGCGTGCGGTGACGTCATTACCACGAGCCCCGCCCTCTCCCCGCGAGAGCCGCAGCGGAGCCCAGGTCGGGGGGCGGAATTTTGGGGTGAAAAAAGGCGATTTTAGGGTCGGCTCGGGAGTTGTGAGGGAAAAGCCTCTGAGTTTGAGGTGGAAAAGGCAGAATTTGGGGTGAAAGGGCGGAATTGGAGGGGAAAAAGGTGAATTTTGGGGGTTTGGGGGAACGTTTTGGGCGGTTGGAGGAGGCGGTGCGGGAAAACGTGCGGATTGTGAGGTTAAAAAAGTAGATTTTGGGGTGAAAATGGCCCATTTTGGGGGGTAGAGACCAATCGTGAAGTAAAAAAATGCAGGTTTTGAGGTGGAAAGCGCAGATTTTTGAGGTGAAAAGGACAGGTTTTGGGATCCGGAGCAGATTTTGTGGTGTGGGAGGAAATCGTGTGGTAAAAAGTGCACATTGTGAGGTAACAAGTGTAGATTTTGAAGTAAAAATGAAGCTTTTGGGGTGCAAAATGCAGACTTCGGGGAGGAAATTCTGAGGTTAAAAGTGCAGATTTTGAGATGTGGGAGAAAGTAGTGAAGGAAAACGTTTGGATTTTGAGGTTAAAAAATGCAGATTTTGAGGTAAAAAAGTAGATTTTGGGGGTGGAGGGAAATCCTGAAGTAAAAAAAAAACGACGAGTTTTGGGTCTGGGGTACATAAGAATAAGAATAAAATATCCAATATACATTGAATAAGAAAAAGCTGATTTGGGGTGTTGGGAAATGCTGAGGCAGAAAGTAATTCTGTGGTAAAAAAAATGCAGATGTTGAGGTAAAATTTGCAAATTTGAGGGCTTAGGAAGAAATCCTGAGGTAAGAAAGTGCAGATTTCGAGGTTAGAAGTGCAGATGTTAGGGTGCAAAAGACGGATTTTGGGGTGAAAAAGTCAAATTTGGGGTGCAAAAGGCGGATTTTGGCGTGTAAATATCGAATGTGGGGGTGCAAAAGGCAGATTTTGGGTGTGAATATCGGATTTAGGGGTACAAGAGGCGGATTTTGGGGTGAAAGCCGCGGTGGGGGGGGGGAGAGTCCTTTGCTGGTTTTCCTTCCTCCTCCTCCTCCTCCTCCTCCTCCTCCCCTTGAAACGCCCTTGGCGGGGGCGGGGCAGCCCCGGGGCCATTCCCGGATTTGGGGCCCCCCCCGAGCCATTCCCGGCTCTGCTCCCGCAGCTCCCGGACACTCCGGACACCGCTGGACACTCCCGGACACCGCCGGACATTCGGTCGGTGCCCCCCAAAAACTCCTGGGGACCCTCCTCAACTCTGGGTTTTTCCTTTCCCTCCCCGCCCCACAAATCCTTGGCTTTTCCCTCAAAATCTCGGGGCTTTTCCCTAAAAATCTTGGGGTTTTTCCCTCAAAATCTTGGTTTTTTCCCCTCAAAATCCCGGGGCTGTTCCTGAAAATCTTGGGATCTTTTCCCCCCTAAAATTGTGGGGTTCTCTCCTTCCCCAAATTCTGGCGTTTCACACCCAAATCTGGAGGTTTTTCCTTCTGGAGTTCTGGGGTGTTCTCACCCCAAAACTTGGGTTCTCCCCCTCGAATTCTTTGGGGTCTTTTCCCCCAAATTTTGGGAGGTTTTCCCCTCACAATCTTGGGGTTCTTTCCCCCCCAAAAAATCCTGGGGTTCTCCCTCCCCAAATCTTGGGATTCTCCCCCCAAAAATCCGTGTGAGTTTTCCCCTCAAAATCTTTGGGTTCTTCCCAAAAAATCGGGTGTTTTTTCACTCCCCAGATCCTGGGGTTTCCCCCAAAACCTTGGCGTTCACTTCCCCAGTGCCCTCCCAGTCCTTCCCAGTTCACTCCCAGTGCCCCCAGTTCACTCCCAGTTCACTCCCAGTGCCCCCAGTCACGCCCAGTTCACTCCCAGTGACCTCTAATCTCCTCCAGTTCATTCCCAGTCCCGCCCAGTGCCCTCTGACTCCCCTTTTGGGGACACCCCCAGGGCGTGGCTGTGTCCCTGCCCCTCCCCCAGCAAGGCTGTGGTCTGTGACGTCACAGTGAACCCGTGACGTCACTGCTGACGTCACTGCTGACATCACTCCCGCAGAGGCAGCAGGATGGCCCCGCCCGTGCCCGCGCTGACCCCGGAGCAGAAGCAGGAGCTGGCGGCCATCGCCCAGCGCATCGTGGCCCCCGGCAAGGGCATCCTGGCCGCTGACGAGTCCACTGGTACCCACTGGGAGGGACTGGGATGGACTGGGATGGACTGGGAGGGACTGGGATGGAACTGGGATGGAACTGGGATGGAACTGGGATGGACTGGGATGGAACTGGGATGGAACTGGGATGGAACTGGGATGGTCTGGGAGCCCCTGCTCCATACCGGGCATTCCCGGTTCCTACTGGAAACCGGCCACTCCGTACTGGCTCTAACGGCCGCACACCGGTCCAGACTGGTCTGTGCCGGCACGTAGTGGTTCGTACCGGTTCATACCGGTTTGTACTGGTCCATACCAGTTTGTACTGGTCCATACCGGTTTGTTCCGGTCCGTACCGGTCCGTACCGGTCGGAGCCAGCGCGTGCTGGCAGTGAGGGCTCGGTGCCGCGCAGGCAGCATCGCCAAGCGGCTGAGCTCGGTGGGCGCGGAGAACACGGAGGAGAACCGGCGCTGGTACCGGCAGCTGCTGTTCACGGCCGACAAGCGCGTGGAGCCCTGCATCGGCGGCGTCATCCTCTTCCACGAGACCATGTACCAGAAGGCCGACGACGGCCGCCCCTTCCCGCAGGTCATCCGCGACAAGGGAGCCCTGGTTGGCATCAAGGTGGGACACCTGGGGACACCTGAGCACACCTGGGGGGACATGGGGACACACCTGGGGACACCCAAAACACACCTGGGGACACCTGGGGATGTGGGGGAGGTTGGTTGTTCCTGAGCTGGCTCAGGCATGGGGAGCTGGGAGCAGGGGAACCACATCTGAGATGGGTTCAGAGAGTGAGGTGGTCACACCTCGGGGACACTGGGGGTGTTGGGGACACCTCGGGGACATTTGGAGTCTTTGGGACATTGGGGACACGCAGGGGTTGGGTTAGGGTTAGGGTTAGGTGTCGGGTGTCCCTCTGTGTCGGGTGTCCCTCGGGGTCCCTCTGTGACCCAGCTCGGTCACCCCAGGGTGGGGACCCGGAGGGGGACACGGACCACGGTGGCCCCGGTGGCCGCAGTGACCCTGGTGGTCGCGGTGGCCGCGGTGACCCTGTTGCTGTCCCCCAGGTGGACAAGGGCGTGGTGCCCCTGGCTGGCACCAATGGCGAGACCACGACCCAGGGTGAGTGACAGCCGTGGTGTTCCCAGTGCCGCCGCTGCTGCGTCCCTGTCCCCGT